ATGTTAATTCGTAGTTACGTCGCGACTCAGGCGTTTCTCGGCTCATATAACCGCGTATAGGTTTAAACTTTTTTGAAATATTGGTTTAATTGATGAGGTACTACAAAAAATTGGAAAATTGACACGGGGATGAAGAGAAGAAAATAATTGCCTGACTTCAGAAGATTTACCAATTATTGAAAAATTCGTAGACAGTTTTACAGTCTAAATGCCGCAGCGACGGGCACCGGCGACCTGTGCTGCCTCCAGGTGCACTAGTTTAAAAGCTTCCATTTCCATTGATTCAAGGCATCATCGCAACAAAAGCGCCGCAGAGTTGTCTTTTGAGAAAAATTAAATATTTTTTCTACACAATATAAATATTTTTTCGAGTTTATACATTTAATTTTTAATTTTTATAATCAAAATTAAAGTAGAATTTTATTGCACATTTAAATGCACACAGATTGTCGATGGTACTGAAGACAGCAGAAACAGTGGCCATGATTGGCCAGAGAAACCATTGATTGCATAAATAAAATAATTGGCACAGAAAATGCAGCGAGGCTAGAACAAATAAAATCTTTCTAGAAAAATCTTGAATAAAGGCGAGCATACAAAATAAATAAATAAAAAATAGAAAAGTTCTGATGTGTTAAAAGTGGAAAAAAATTGGGAGGTTGGAGGGCGAGAAGTTTGTCAACTTCTAAAGTCACGGAACTCGAGACTCATTTTCAAGGCGCAGTTCAATCGTGTTCAAAAGTGACCTGAAGCCAAAACTATTCGAACTCGATTGTATCAAAATCTAATGAAAAATATAAGTTCAAATGACACTTAACAATATATATATAAATATTTCAATCGGTAGAAAGATGTCTGACTATTAAAAGATGAATGACATTTCTTGCTTGGTAGCCACGAGTCTACCACCAAGATTACATGTATTTGTCTACTTATACTTGTCTGGTTATATTACCAAGATTACTTGTCTACTACTTGTCTGCTTATATTAGGAAAAACTAATGCAAATGATGTGAAGATGAGGTAGGCAACGGCAGCCACAATCGTACCTTGCTTAGGTCTGCGGAGGTGTCATCTGACACTTCGTTGACACCCTCATCTGAGTCAGAGTCGAGATCGTCAAGAGAGTCGCTGGTGGAGCCTTCAGGTCCCAAAAGAGCTTTAGAGGCCTCGTCATTGAGAGCCCTCAGGTGCTTCTTGGCTTTGACAGCGATAGAAGCCGCTGACGTCGAGCGATAAGCTCGTCCAGATAAAGATAAGGATAAGTCGGGAGAGTCGGGGCATGTCTTCCAAGAGCTGCCGGACCCACGCCGCCGAGACACGCGCTCGATTGTCTGCTCGCTGGTCTTCAAGAAGCTGTCGATGCGTCGCGAAAGCTTGGAGGAACGCGAGCAAGATGTTGAGCTTCCTCCAATGGACAAGTCGTAAGGATCATGATTTCTGACACTGGACGGTTGTCCGAGGCGGCCGGTGGATGATGCACCAACAGGAAAACTCGAGTACCGTGTTGGTGAGAGCGCATCTTCGAAGCGACCACTTCGATGGGTGTGTGAAGGAGAAGGAGCCAAGTCTATGGCGGGAGCAAGACTCCTGCTGCTGTAAGATACGCCAATAGGGATGGATGCCACAGGAGTATAGATCACAGGAGGAGTGCCATACGAGGGCGGTGGGAACGCGGCAGGCATGTAAGTTGGTAGGGGCCATTGACGTCGGAATACGGACCGATGGGGATCCATGATGTTTGATATCTGAACGACAGATCAATCCTCAAGTGGCTGTCTAAATTTTGGAAACATATTGAAATATGTTATCAACAGAACGACGGCTGGTCTCCTTCCATGAATGTTACGCATGACTTTGTTGGTTGTGCACAGAATTTTGACGTCGTCAGATAATAATTTAAAATGTCTTCAACGTCATGAACATGATACAGGCCGAGATTTCTAGAGAATACGATGATCTAGCATGAGCGTCGTAATTCGATAAGGCATCGACTAGCGGAGCAGAAGTTCAGCTGAACGTGCGAAGAAACTTGTAACTTGTAGCCATTAACTCGCAGGAATCAATGCTGAAGAGGAATGAAACTGGCAAACTATGTCCCCAGCTTGTGCAGAAGCAAGTAAACGATAGTTTGTATAATATATTCCAATAGAATAGATAGTTTGTATATAGAATATTCCAATAAAAACTTTCAGAGAATAACCATGACTGTTATTGTGCAAACTAAGCAGCATGGAGTCCGGCAGCAGACGCGCCATCGGAATTTCAATGTCTGAACATCTCAGTTTCTCATCTGAACATGAGAGGACGGATCCGTTTATTGAAAATTCCTGACTCAGGATCGTGCAAGTCACGGTCACTCTGATCAGGCGGATTGTGCAGGTCACGATCGCTGAGGGCAGAAGGATTGTGCAGGACACGATTGCCGTGGGCAGAAGGGTCGTGCAGGTCACGTTCACTCTGATCAGGAGGATCGTGCAGGTCACGATCACTCTGATAAGGAGGATTAATTGTGCATGTCACGATTGTCGTGGGCAGAAGGGTCGTGCAGGTCACGACTGCTCTGACCAGAAAGATCGTGCAGGTCACGACTGCTCTGACCAGAAAGATCGTGCAGGTTGCCACCGCTGGTCTCGCCGCACTCAGCCAAGCCACTAAGCGAGCGCGCGGTCAACGAGTGCAGCAGCGCGACGCGCTGGCTGCCGCGGCGCTCAGCCAGACAAATGGCGCGCGCTGACATCGTGCACATGCATCAACATTTCATCAAAATGACGATGCTCAGTGCAGTAGCTGCATCTTATTCATTGTATGAAGCAGATTTTAATTCTTAGCTTCTTGGTACGGGGTACAATAACTAATAATGACTGTAAGAATTTTACGGAACATACTTCTCCCGTGTACATAAGGTTGGGACCTTTTAGGTAGAACCAGAGTTGATGAGCTCGGGCAAAATTCAGTACGGGATGAAGCACCTGGGCCTATACTTTCAAAACTCTCTAAGTGAACGTAAGTACTTACGCTCTATTTTCTTGTCTATGATTGGTGGATTTTGCTTGAAAGGCCGTCAATGATTGGCTAATGAACTTACGACCTCTTAACTTTTTTGAAAGTATAGGCCCCGGCCTGCAGAGGTGCCCACTACCAGACGCGCTGGGATGAACTCTTCTTGTTTTACTCCCAACGCCGGAAATAGAAGCGTCGCGACACAGCGCTACTCTGGCAGCTATGCATCGTGACTGTGGCGACTGTGACTGTGGTGACTGGTGACTGTGGTGACTGGTGACTGTGATTACTGCGGTTGCAGTGATGACTGTGGTTAATGCGATGCTATGCATGATGACTGTGGTTAGTGTTAGCTGTGGTTACTGTGATGACTGTGGTTACTGTGATGCTATGCATGTTGACTGTGGTGACAGTGGTTACTGTGATGACTGTGGTTAATGAGATGCTATGCACGATGACTGTGGTGACTGTGATGACTGTAGTGGCAGTGGTTAGAGTGATGACTGTGATTGATGTGATGACTGGTGACTTCGATGACAGATGACTCTGATAACTGTGGTGGCTGTGATGACTGATGACTGTAGCGACTGCCATGACTGGCGACTGTGATGTCGTCACGAGTTACGTGGTAAGAGTGCAATGAAGAGCTGCACACGCTTACAGGCTAAATAAATGACAGGAATTGAACCTGTATTGCGATCATATATTTCCCATTTCAAAATACATTCCAGAAGATTTATAAAACTCTATCAATGAAAACTCACAAAAACCTGAAAATAATCAGCAGACGTGGATTCATCAAAGCAAAGAGCAAGGCAGTGCCCAGTGCTGCGAAAATTGCGGTAAACGATGGATTTAAGAGAAGGAACATAAGAGTGATAATCATGACAATCTCAGAGCAGCACTGAACATATGAGTGATAATCATTAATTAACATAGGAGCTCGAAAATTAATGTCGCGGCGCGGCAATCCATCTGAGCGCAGCCATGCCAGCGGATCGTCCGACGCAGGCACTAACCTAACCTTAAGTGTTCATAATATTTCATAGCAGTGCGCGAGACAGCTAAGCTGTCAAACCTGCGCGCCCTAAACGCCGATTACTTGCGTTCGCAAACACGAGTTACGGACGAAATGATTCATGAAGTTAGCAACAAATGATATGAACAATTATGACGTATAGATAGGGAAATATTGGGATATAGAGGTTAGCGGTTTCAGCGTTTATTAGGCCGTAGGCCTGTCGCCGATTCTTGAAATAGCAGATCATTCACAGCATTTTGCGGTCTCGAACTCGCAACTCACTGCTACAATTCTGCTGCGCTTAACCGCCCGGCCTCCTTGCAGATTCTGACCAGAAGCTGGCGCACAGAGCTGGGATCGAACCCGTGCCTCTCTGCGCCAATCCTGGTACTCTTCTGTTTACATAGAATAAGCAGACCATACAGACTACATACATCTTACCTGGAGAGCAGAGGGCAGCACAGCAGGTCTGCAGGAGACGAGAAGACAGGGAACAGCAGCTCGATCTGCAGTCTTCAGGTCTTCTCGAGCAACTTTAGGAAGACACCAACGCTCCATACCAGACTATTGTACCAGCGCTCCATACCAGACTATTGTACCAGCGCTCCATACCAGACTATTGTACCAGAGCTCCATACCAGACTATTATACCAGCGCTCCATACCAATACCAGACTATTCTGCCATTTATTATCTATTCCTATTCATAAGCAGTCCTAGTGAACATTCGCAGTTTATGGAAATATTCTTCCAGAAATGGACTTATCTTATTCACTGCACGATGACTAACTCTACAGACTAGAGCCTAATATCTCAGCAATAAATATTTAATTCTAGGCAGTATAAACACAATTAAAGAATTCACTACGTTATTTATAAATTAAATGATTAAGCCTGGCATTGGATGGTACTCATAGTTATGTTAAGTTATTCCTATAGTGAAGATTGAGTGATGTGTAAGATGAACTTCACGCCCCTTACCACGTCAACTGCGATCAAGAGTATTTTTAACTTTTCATTTCATATTTCTTAACATCAAAGCTAACGCAGTAATAAAAATGCAATTATAAATCTAGATCAATTCATTTGAAACTGAAATAGGTTTAGATATTCGTCAACAAATTAAGCAGAGAAATAAGTTTCAGCTATTAAAATGCCACATGTTTGACGAAGAAACAATTAAACCCCAATATGAAATAAGTAGAATAAATTTAATAATTCCCTATTACACATTTACCAGAATTTATTACCGTTCAAAGTGCAAGAAACTGTAAGCAAATCATAGACGATTTCAAGACCGCGTTTTATTAATTATTCGGATATATTAAGAATACTTTTCATTTGAAGTCACTGGAAATTAATTTATTAGTGGTTGAATTCCCCTGCGCCTCGAGCGCGACGCATGTATTATAATAATATATTATAAGTGCTTTTCATCCCAAGTCAATGCTAAAATATTTCTGTTCACTATACTGACCCGCGTCTCGAGGGCGACGCATGTATAACAATTACATATTATAAGTGCTTCATATCCCAAGTTAATGCTATAATATATTATAAGTGCTTTATATCCCAAGTCAATGCTAATAATATATTATAAGTGCTTTACATCCCAAGTCAATGCTAATATATTTCTGTTCACTGTACTGACCCGCGCCTCGAGGGTGTCGTTGGACTGCTGCAGGCCGCTCTTCTCTCTCTCAACCTTCTCCAGCCGCGCCCGCAGCGTCTCCAACTCCGTCTGTACAACACCCAACACAACGTTAGCATTTGCACGTCTCCAACTCCGTCTGTACAACACCCAACACAACGTTAGCATTTGCACGTCTCCAACTCCGTCTGTACAACACCCAACACCACGTTAGCATTTGCACGTCTCCAACTCCGTCTGTACAACACCCAAAACCACGTTAGCATTTGCACGTCTGGTCATCCACAGAAATTATGCTACAGAATTCATGTAATATGTGGCCAAAATAATCCAATAGCAAAATGAATTTGGCTAATTTGATTAAGATAATTTTTCAACTTGGATGTTCAGTTTGGATAATTTCTGAAAGTTCTACGCAATCGATTGAAGAACAGGGACCATCAGCACAAATAGAAATAATTGTAATTTAAGGTGCATAAAAAAGTTCTTATAATACATTTATGATTTAAAGATACCACCCCTCTGGTTTACTTCTATCATATTTTTAAGCTGGATTTGGATAGCCAACTGAATTCATCAATATAAATAATTTATTATTTACCTCTTCCTCTCATGAATGAATTCATCTATAAACTAACAGTAGATTTTTTTGGCCTCAAATAAGGAAAAGCTTGCCACACACTGGATATGAAGCGAGAAGTTAGTGAGGACTAATGGACGAGCGTTGAAATGTGATATGAATGTCTTGTGACTTAACTTTAATTAAGTTATTACTTAATAGAGTAATTAAATAATCCATAGTGATGACTTATTTAGTGATCAGCAGCTACTTGTGACATAAATTAGGTTTAGCAGTGCACGTGATGTTACTGGTGCGTGTGATGGTGTAGTCTGGACACGTGATGTTACTGGTGCGTGTGATGGTGTAGTCTGGACACGTGATGTTACTATAGTGCGTGTGATGGTGTAGTCTGGACACGTGATGTTACTATAGNACTGAATGAGTATGCGTCTTAACATGATTGAATAAGTATGCGTCTTAACATGATTGAATAAGTATGCGTCTTAATGACAAGAACAAATGAGTGGCCAAGACCTTGGCCTCCCGTAGCTGGTGTTCGGTCCTGTGTACGTCGAGGAGAGGCGTGAGGCGCACCAGCAGGCGCCACCACGGCCACTCGCGCACGCCCATGAACTTGCGCACGTTCTTCTGGATGCAGCGGATGGCTGTCTCCTGCACCTGTGGGGGGCGTGGACATCAGAACAGGGTTGTGAGAACAATAATGAGAACAATAATAGGGTCATTAGTGTACTGCTATATTGTTATTGGGTGCAGCGGATGGCGGTCTCCTGCACCTGTGGGTGACATGGACATCAGAACAGAGGTGTGGGGCGTGAGAACAATGATGAGAACAATAATAGACTCTGTAGTGTACAGCTATCTTGTTATTGGGTGTAGCAAGTAGCTATCTTATTATTAGAAATATATTGTTATTAGAGAACACAAATATCTGTAATTGTTCATGGATGAGGCACAAAATTGTTCATGGATGAGGCACAATTGGCTGTCTCTCGCACCCACAATAATGAATTGGTTGGAAACAAAACATCTTCCAATAAGTGTCGAATTGAAACAATTGCACAAGTGTTGAATTGAAAATTGAATGATTTTCATTGCTGCTTGCAACGTCTCCACACGTAGCATCGCTGAATGAAAGTTTCACGAACAGCGCTCTCTCTTAAATACCTTTGTTCCCATAAAATGAATGACAAATGTAAAGGCTATTACCGCAAGTTGTAGTGTACGAACAACCAAGAAACAGGAACACGCGAATATAAAATTATATTGAAATTATGACGATAAGACACTCATTTCCTTACCCAATAATACGCATTCAAGAAATGTTCACCTGATATTCAAGAAAACCGGATGATGTGCGTTTTATTTTGCAATCTAAATGGCATTCTGATGTTGATTGCACTGCCGTTTCCTGAGATAAACGCGCTACGCTGCCGCAATTTACTTGTAGTGACCTGCACTGGCTACTGGCGTCGCAGCAATTAACGTATGTTTGTGTATTAAGGCCTGAATTAGACGCTAAACTATTGTGTGTATAATAAGTGAAGATGAGGGAGAGGGCCGTGGCCCAGCAGAACAAGAAGGGCCCTACACACCAGCACACCAGGGCCAGGACAGCGGCACATGTTGCTGTTATACGCCATGGTAGCAGAGAGCTGTTGTACTGCTTCATCTTACACTTAATCTATTGCAATTACGTTCAAAATAGTTCAGCTGTAATCAAGAATATGGAGTATTCACAGCTAATATTGACAATTGCAATATGAGTCATATTTCGTAATTACGTTCAGCTGTGCAATTACGTTCAGTATTTGCAGCTAATATTGACAATTGCTATATGAGTCATGAGTGATCCAGGGTATAGGAGCAAACAAAAACATTACACGAAAAGGCTTGCATGAAAAAAATGTAGAGTAACTTGAAGGAAAAGTTTGCGTTAGTTCACCTGATGTTCAAGAAAAGAGGATGATGTCCTTTTTATTTTGCAATCTACATGGCATTCTGATGTTGATTGCGCTGCCGTTTCCTGAGATACACGCGCTACTTTGCCGCAATTTACTTGCAGTGACCTGCACTGGCTACACGCGTAGCAGCAATTAACGTCTGTCTGTTTATTAAAGCCTGAATTAAATGCTAAATTTTTGCTTGTGTAATAAGTGAAGGAGAGGGAGAGGGCCGTGGCCCAGCAGAACAAGAAGGGCCCTACACACCAGCACACTAGGACCAGGACTGCAGCACATGTCGCTGCTACACGCCATGGTAGCAGAGAGTGGTTGTACTGCTTCATCTTACACTTAATCTATTGCAATTATGTTCAAAAATAATTCAGCTGTACTCAAGGGTGTAGCTAATGTTTACAATTGCTATACGAGTCATGAGTGATCAAGGGTGTAGGAGCAAAAAAAACATTACACGAAAAGGCTTGCATGAAAAAATGTAGAGTAACTCGAAGGAAAAGTTTGCGGTCACTTGGCATTAAGATTTTCGTAAGATGCGCACCACCACGCACGACGCACGACGTAACTGCATGAGTTATCCAGGGTATAGATAAATTAACAAAAACATTACCGTACACGAAAAAAATTCGCACGAAAAAAATTTTGAGTAACTTGAAGGAAAAGTTTGCGTTCACTTGGCATTAAGATTTGTTAAGATGTGCACCACCACGCACGACGCACGACGTAATTACATGAGTTATCCAGGGGTATAGATAAGCAAACAAAAATATGGCACGAAAAAGCTCGCACGAAAAATTGTAGAGTAACTTGAAGGAAAAGTTTGCGGTCATGCACTTAAGGCAAGAAGATTCGTAAGATGCGCACCACCACGCACGACGTAACTAATGGGAGAACTAAGGGCACGGCAGGCGGCACTTCAATACGCGTGTCCGCACCATTATCACCATAGATAATGGGATCCGTGAGAAAGCGGATTACTTATTTACATACGCATGATTAGGTAAGAATTTATGAAGGCAAAGTAGGCCATAGAAAATAACGGCATGATGAACATTACTAAAAACAACAAACCAAACATGAAAAGAGTCTAACAATATATTACATATTATAACAATAACAATCGTAACTGATGAAATGTTTTTTCTTTTTACTGTGAATAATTCAGTATAATTACAAAAGCATTTTCAGACCTCTTCAAAGAAAGAACATAAAATTTGTACGGACAACAATAGCTTCTCGAATAGTTATATGGTTCTCGAGTTAATGTTTTTTTAGCAGAATTTTGAAAATAAGGTCGCCTAAAGTTGTAGTCGAGTCTCGGTCGTAGAAGGTCCGTAGTGAATACAAAATAAACTGCATCTACAAGACATCACAGTACTCAGGATATGCAAGGTGCAAGTCTACACTCACAGAAATGAGAGGACTTTTGCCCAAATAACAATAAACTTTTTGTCCGCTTGTGTGGGTTATAATGACTCAGTTAGGCATTGAAAAATTGCGTAATAGTGCTACGTCCGCACGCTGGACCTGTTGTGTGTAAGATATTGTGTCATTATTTGAACATTATAACCCATTCATTTACCTAAGTATAAGACAGTGCTTCTAAAGCCACGTACCTTCCTCTTCTGAAGCCTGCGCCTGGCGTCAACATTATAACCTATTCATTTACCTAAGTATAAGATACTGCTTCTAAAGACACTCACCTTCCTCTTCTGAAGCCTGCGCCTGGCCAGCACGCCCCTGGCGTGGGCCTGAAGGCGCGTGATGGTGCCGGCCAGCACCGCGTCGCGCTGCTCCTCCAGCCGCGCCAGCCCGCCCGTCCTGAACAGCACCTGGGGGGGCAACCGCTTAGCATGGGGCACTCACTCTTAACATTTATAGTACATGTGAACGCATGGGGCACTCACTCTTAACATTTATAGTACACATGAACGGTTATTGATTGCCGCCCGTCCTGAACAGTACCTGCGGGCGGTAACCGCTTAGCACGGGGCACTCACTCTTAACATTTATAGTACATATGAACGGTTACTAATTGTCACACGGAACTTAAAAACAAAGAAAACACCAAGCAAATTCACCATATCGATATTGAAAACGTTTCAGAGTCCAGCTCCATTGTCAGTTCGAAAAACTAAAAATGAATAAAATCATATTATTAACTACTGGACTCCGAAAAGATGGAGCTGGACTCAGAAACGTTTTCAATATCGATATGATGAATTTGCTTGGTGTTTTCTTTGTTTTTAAATTCCTTGTGAGCTTGCAATATAGGCAGAGTGATAATATAAGTACTTGTTAATTGTATACGAATAAATTTGGAATTCATAGAAAAAAAGGTGGACATCGAATGTAAAATTCAACAGGAGTAAATATGGAATGAAAAACTATAGGTGTAGATATCGAATGAAGTATAGTATAAGGGTATATCCTATATATAGAATGCGAAACTGCATAGATGTAGACAACGAATACAAACAGTTTATGAATAAATATGGAAAGCAAAATTGCTAGGGGACACATGGATTATAAAATTATGTATATAAGATTACATAGGGGATGTAAACTTACATTACAGTATATAAGGAACTAAAACGCACATAGAAATAACAGCGGAGTGTCTAATCAATAGGGAAGCTGGTCAAGAATAAGATTTATATCATAAAACAATAATAATGATAAGTTCTGAAACAGGAGTTAAGAAGGAGAAGCAATATAACTTCTGTACGCAACTGAACACAAAAAATAGGAACAATGAATAATTGGAAGATTATTCTAGCTAAATATAAGTCCATTTGGCTGGAGAGTTTGAACAGGGGCCATACTTTCAAAACTCGCTAATTAAGTGAACGTAAGTACTTACGCTCTATTTTCTTGTCATGATTGGTGGATTTTACTTGCGTGGCCGTCAATGATTGGCTGATGGACTTACGATCTCTTAACTTTATTTGAAAGTATAGACCCAGATGACGAGGCAACGGCCACGAGTGTGAAACAAATAGCGAAACATTGCGGCTTAGCGGCGCAAGATTTGTACGCTTTTCATTCCAAAATTAAATCTTAATTATTGCTTATTTAGAACAGTGAAGACACTTTCAAATAAGAATTATGAATGCCACGATAAACACTCAATAGTTTACGTATAATTTGCCGCCACGTACGACAACTTTGAAATGTTCTCTGTTGCGTACAAATGTCCTCAGGTTGCTACACTCAATAGTTTACGTATAATTTGCCGCCACGTACGACAACTTTGAAATGTTCTCTGTTGCGTACAAACGTCCTCAGGTTGCTACACGCAATAGTTTACGTATAATTTGCCGCCACGTACGACAACTTTAAAATGTCCTCCGTTGCGTACAAACGTCCTCAGGTTGCTACACTCAATAGTTTACGTATAATCACTCAATAGTTTACGTATAATTTCAAGTTGAAAGTTATATTCCCCGAGAGTGACACTACGTACACGGCGGTAGAGGGTTGATACCGACATGCTAAGTAGCAAACACCTGCCGCCTGCACTGAACAACTTCACTGCCCCAGATACGTCGGACGAGTTTGAACTCACTGAACAACAATGTTTGCACTAACAGCCGTGTGAAACGAAAGCGGATGTGGGACGCCCCACTATTCAACTGTATTCATAACATTCGATATTGGGTCTAAACACACGCTTAGAAAATGAGTTGAGGTAAGGCCAGGTATATACGGAATAAGGAATCTCCTTCATCCGGTACTTTTCTCGACTTTCTAACGACGAAGTTAGGCGGTCACAAAAACAAAGAATTCATTACCACAAAACTAATGTTTTGATGTAGTTGGCCTAAATTGAACCATAAAATGCAATAGGTAACCTTATTGCATTTTGAACGACCGTGAGATCTGGCGTTGTTACGTCGTTCACGTGTACAATTAACTTGATCAGGCGGAACTGCGAAGAATAGTTTCCCTATTTCCTGCGGAGTTCTGTCCTTGACGCAATCTGAGTGCGATTAGGCAGCAGGATGAGAGGGGAGCAAGAGCATAACATTATCAGCTGATCCTACAGAAATTAAACGGAAATTCAAGTCAGTCTAAAGTGAAACTCCGGCGGCAAGGTTGAGATCATATAAGTTTATCGAAGTAGTTGCCTCCAAGTTCTCTAAAGATCTGATAGAGCAGCGACTAAAACCTAACTTCCTCCTGCACGCCATGGGCCCCGAGGCCCGCGCTCACTTTAATTTGGATGTGAAATACACTTAGAAAGATAGCAGCAGCGTGGTGATATTAATACAGCTTAATTGGTGCAGCAATAATTTTCTGCGACGTGGAAATGTCGAACGGAATCTAAGACGTTCCGTGATCATTTAAAATTACATTATGCCTAACAGAAATTGTACGTAACAGATATTTGCATAAAAAAATAGAAAGCCGTCAGAAATTTACTCATTTCGAGTGCACCACGCGGAATTGAAATTATTTGTACACCGCCGATGAGTAAGGTGTACAAATAATTGCACTCACACTTCACTTATAAAGGACAATACTACATATATTGTACACACAGAATTGCTGCAGTATTCCATAGCTGCACAGCACAGGGAAAACATAGAACAATATTATAAAGGACAAACTGGACAATATTACATAGATCGTATGATAATTGCTGAAGTATTCCATAGCTGCACAGCACAGGGAAAACATAGAACATCAAGACAGACAAGTGAAGAGCTCCAGGAGCAGCTGTTGATCACAAGCCTGAGTGCAGGTCCGGTGACTTATTATAGCGCAAGACAAGACAGGCCGCCGCCGCTAGTGACGCGCTGCGCTGCAGCGCCAGTTTAACCGCACAAAGTGGGAGAAACAAGGCAGATACAATGGATTACAATGGCAGATACAATGGATTACAATGGCAGATACAATGGCAGATACAATGGATTACAATGGCAGATACAATGGATTACAATGGCAGATACAATGGATTACAATGGCAGATACAATGGATTACAATGGCAGATACAATGNAAATAGAACCAAAAATGCGTTAAGTAACCATTTTGAACGACCGTGAGATCTGACGTTGTAACGTCGTTCACGTGTACAATTAACTTGATCAGGCGGAACTGCGAAGAATAATTTCCCTATTTCCTGCGAAGTTCCGTCCTTGACGGAAACTGAGTACGATTAGGCAGCAGAATGAGAGGGGGGAGCAAAAGCTTAACATTATCAGCTGTTCCTACAGAAATTAGACGGAAATTCAAGTCAATCTAAAGTGAAACTCCGGCGGCAAGGTTGAGAACATATAAGTTTATCAAAGTAGTTGTCTCCAAGTTCTCTAAAGATCTGATAGAGCAGCGACTAAAACCTAACTTCCTCCTGCACGCCATGGGCCCCGAGGCCCGCGCTCACTTTAATTTGGATGTGAAATACACTTAGAAAGATAGCAGCAGCGTGGTGATATTAATACAGCTTAATTGGTGCAGCAATAATTTTCTGCGACGTGGAAATGATGAACGGAATAAAAGACGTTCCGTGATCATTTAAAATTACATTATGTCTAACAGAAATCGTACGTAATAGATCTGTGCATAAAAAATAACAAGCCTTCAGAAATTTACTTATTTCGATTGCAACACGCGCAATTTAAATTATTTGTACACCGCCTATGAGTGAGGTGTACAAATAATTGCACCCACACCTCACTTATAAAAGACAATGTTACATAGATCATATGATGATTGCTGGAGTATTCAATAGCTGCACAGCACAGGGAACACATTGAACAATATTATAAAAGACAATATTACATAGATCATATGATGATTGCTGAAGTATTCAATAGCTGCACAGCACAGGAACACATTGAACATCAAGAAACATTTAACATCAACACATTTAACATCATCAGCACATTTAACAATTGAAGAGCTCCAGGAGCAGCTGTCGATCGCAAGCCGGTGACTTATTAGCGCAAGGTAAGACTGGCCGCGGCCGCTAGTGACGTGCAGCGCTGCACCGCAGCGGTCACTGGCTCCACGCTGCCGCTACGTCCGCTCGCCGTATTCGCGGAATTCTTACGGTCGCCGTATAAGTGATCAGTGATAGCAAGCACTACGGTGATCACAATACTACAGCGGTCGTAAGCATTGCGGCGATCATAACTGCTACGGTGATCGCATAGAGTACAGTGATCGTGCGTACTAAGGTGATAGCAGTAATTAAGGTGATATATTTAATGATTCGAGTAGCACAATGAGTGCAAAAATCACGGTGATCTGAGGCACTTTTTCATCGTGGCGTCGATTCATGTAATCGGTAAGTAAAATACTACGACGCGCTCTGTACCCAGATTATAAAAGTTGATTTTGACACCGAACGTTCAGCAGCAAACCTTTTCACATTATACCAAGCAGATAACCCAGAACCCAAAGTCCTAAACCATCGATTAACGTGAGAATGATTTTAAACTTAGGTTTAAAGATTTTAAAAATGCTTGATAAATACAGCTCAATTACATCTACAATACCACCAGTCCGGGAAATTAGAAATATCACGCAAGATGGAAGGCGAAAACAACATGCTTGATAATGTCACAAATTGCGACATGAAAGACACGTTCTGTGGCAACACGTCCACAGGGCCCTACAAAAATAGCTCCTGTCACGCAACGCCGCCACCCATGCACCCGCACGCACACGTACATTCCTTGAAAAGCAGAGCTTCACGCAACACTTATGGACAAACTCTAAATAGAAACAGAGGAATTTGGCAACAAACTCCAGAATAAAATCCGCTATTGTTACTGATTAATTAAATATTCATTCTGATATGCGGCCAGACAACTAAAGAAAACGTGACGTTTGCTTGCCGAGCGGACTGGCAGACGCGAGCTTGCTTAAGTATAGCAGTGTAAATACACTTCCTAGAGCAAATCTATTTAATGTCCAGGGGCCATACTTTCAAAACTCGATAAGTGAACGTAAGTACTTACGCTCTATTTTCTTGTCTATGATTGTTGGATTTGAAAGGCCGTCAATGATTGGCTGACGAACTTACGATCACTTAACTTTTTTTGAAAGTATAGGCCCGTGTAATAATTCAGAGGTAGAGATTAGAGACTCGAGTATGTCATGAGACTGGACCAACTCGCCGATCTTCACCACGGTTACAAACAAATTCTCTCTATTGCGGAAGTTTAATCAGAAGAAATGATGAAGTTGCTAGAACTTCTGATCATCGTGCAGGGAGTTTTTGCGAAGAACAGACAGGATAACGTTTAATGCCTTCATAGAAAAGCTTTGACTGTCTCAATGAATGATCTTCTTCGTGTCCAGGGGCCATACTTTCAAAACTCGATAAGTGGACGTAAGTACTAACGCTCTATTTTCTTGTCTATGATTGGTGGATTTTGCTTAAAAGGACGTCAATGATTGGCTGATGAACTTACGATCTCTTAACTTTTTATGAAAGTATGTGCCCAGCAGAAGTCTAATGGCTAGACAGTGTGGAGCAGAGCTCCATGGCACAGCCGTCGTATTGGAGGAGTGCCACATGCACGCCACCAATTGAGAGTCGGTCACTGAGTACAGCCGCCGTCTGGTCAGGCGCGTGAATGCAGGACTCGTCTCATATTTTAAAGTAAACGAAGGTATCACATTGAATTTAAAATAAATGCTCAAGCGGAACGCAATTGGAAGAAAATCAACAAAACAGCGCTGAAGATCTCTCTCGTTAAAAAAGTTCATCTCTAGACAACCTACGAATTTTAATTTGATTAGTCAATGCACTTGAATTTACATAAGAACGAAACTTCGCAAAATGTAAGTATAAAAATATTGTTTTCTAGAATAAATGTTCAAAGGGTGTGCATGTGTAACGCTCGACAGGCCGCGCTGCTGCAGAAACCGTTGTGGTGATCATGCAGGCAGATGGCGAGGCCGGTTCAGACACCAGCTTTTACAGAAAAAAAAACACGTCCCAGACGCGTCCAATACCGTACAGTTTACATACAGAACTAAAGCACCCCGCACCAACTGAATATCAGTGATTAACAATGCAGTGTAGTCTACACCGAGACCTCACACAGAACTGACACCACACGTACACTGCACTATATCAGTGAACTGCATGTAACAATGTCATATAGTGTACACTGACACCTCACCCAAAACCAAAGGTACCACGCACCTACTGATCATCAGTGAACTTTATAGAAAGCAAATGCTTCTCATAGCGAGCAGCTCGTGAATTAAGCATGGGAATGTTTTGCACGCATCAGCAATCTTTGCTTTTGAAGGCCAAGCCGATCCAGCGATCCGCAAAGGGCACTGATATTCAGTAAATGTCGACAACATTTCGAATCAAGCTCCAAAATTCGTTTAAATGCAGTCCCTACAAGCTTACGGTCANTGTTTGATTGAATCGACGTTGATTGAACTTTGTTTCAACGACGTTTGCCTGGCGGGACTTGGAGAAACGATGTCAATGATCAAGAGAGGATCATAACTTTATGAGTACCTCATGCAGGCGCGGTGGTGAGAAATATAGTATCTAAACTAAACGAGTTTAGCTAATATTAAGCCACATGGAACTAATTAACCCCGCAAATATATAGGCACACACAGAACGACCTAATTGGATATGATCCACAAACATGACAAGTCATAAAAATGACATCAGAGCGAAGGCTTGTTCATGAAGATCATGTCAAACAATAGGGAGAATAAAAACCCGGAGTCAAAACAACGAGGTCATCAATAATAGTTGATCAAATTCCTAGTAGATTTTATTTTTCTAAAAACTTTAATGTGTCAGGTCGAATCAAATGGATGATGAAAATATATCTTGAATGTGTCCTGATTTATGAATGAAAAAATGAGTTGTATGAGCTAGATTTTCTATATGTTTTACGCATGCCATGACTCGAAAATGTTGGAACGAAAAACTTTTTCTCCCCAGTATACCCTGGTGGCGTGAACCTTTTTCGCTTATAAATGGAGCATTGCATGTCGCATGCACCGGAACGTCGAAATCAAATTAAAAGTAGAGATGACGAAGCATGTGGCAATTCCAACTGAATGATTGATACGGAAAGTTGCGAACTCGAAATTAAAGAAAGACTTGGTAGAGAGAGGACTGGACCGCGTCGTCACGACCTGCCGCCACACACGACCTGCCGCCACACACGACCTGCCGCCACACACGACCTGCCGCCACACACGGCATATCGTGTCCTTCACCTTCCATTTCCGCAACGCCATTTGGAACGCTCGGGGGAAATTCGAACTCAAGGAGGCACTACATTTGATCAATAATTATACTAATAACACTTCGCATCGCAGTCACGCGATGTATCATCCATACAAGTTGTGTCTCAACTTAAAGGCACACAAAAAGAAAATGATTATATTTTCAAAGGCACACAAAGAGAAAATAATTCTATTTCAGAGTTTCATTCACTTCCGCGAAAACAAAGTTAAATAAGTTAGAGAATGAAATGAGCGTCCCCGCGACGCAAAATGTTTAGCCATGCCGAACTTTCGTGGGAAACGTTCGTCAGATATCATCAAATAAAGTTTTGAGCCACTGTAACAGAAGTATCCTGTAGCTTGATAAGCTGACAACATCAGACAAATATTCTTTATTCATCTATTTCATCCAATCCATTTAGTTACTTCCTAGCCTGTACCAAAAGATGTCTCATGACATCTTCATAATTTAACAAAAATTGTTTACATCGTAATTTGTGCAGCTGATATATTAGTTGCAAAGCCGAAATATAATGAAATTCGTAACGCATGGACGCACTTACTGGCAATGATAAAACGATTAGCATTTGTAAAAAACACCCTCAAGTTAATAAATGGTAGAGTACTAAATTAAACACTCGAATCCATAGATTTCACAATTTTTCATATCACGTGATTTGGCGATATGGACAAATTGGGAGCAGCAGAACTCGGAATAATAAATCAATGATATTAACCTGTACCTGCAACTCGGTTCGCTCCTCAGGTTGGACGGACGGGATGGCCGCGGTGAGCGAGAAACGTCCTGGAGTTTCGCCGGCAATTTTTTCGATGAGGACATCGTTGCCCGCCGAGTGGCCGACGTCGAGCAAAAATCGGAGCACGGAATCTTTGAAGAAAAACGCCGGGGGAATGGCGCTCCTGAGTAGTGCACTCGTGCTGCGATCGTCACACAAAAACTCGGGGAAATATAAATCGGAGGAAGATTCACTGTCGGCGTCACCAAACACCGATGATGTTTGGCTCGATGGCGGGATAGGGGAGTCAATCCTGCGTCGAGGTGGTAGAGGAGGTCGCGACTTAGGTGGTACGGGCGGCGGTAGATGATCTGACAAACATAAATTTGGCGAAGATGAAGTAGTTGCGGAGGAAAGTAGGCCGTATGCACAAGGGCTTTTCACTGGCGATGAGGAGTCTTCAGGCAACGGGGACCGAGGCAGGGAAAAGCTGGTGACGCGAAGATGTTGTCGCCGGTTGTCGGTTCGAAGTTTAGTTCGGTCACCGCTGGGGGCTTGGCGCGCCGCACAATGGAGGTCCTCGCATGATGCGTTGGCAGAGCCACCGCGGGAACTCACGCCGCTGTCCAGAGACGCCAGTGAGCTGGAACTGCGATATTTTACCAGCCGCTGCGCCTCGTTCAGAGATTTAGATCTGAATGAGTCAGCACTTCGACCGCGATGAATTTTACAACTTTTAGCGAGGAGGCAGGAATCGCTGAAGCCTCGTTCGAAAAGTTCTTTCTTTTGTTTCACGACGCTCCTGGATGGTTTAAAGCGGTAGCAAGAAGATGCCACCGCTGCCACCATTTTGGGGCTTTTCAGCTGCGGAGGATGAATCACTTCCAACATCGTCCTGGGCAAACAATACCACCTAAACGTCCAGGGTCCAGGTGGATACTCACCTTCGTGTCATTTAATATCACAATAGCGTGCTTTTTCACACCACCCACTGAATTAAGCGAGGAGCCTGCACGTCTCAAGTATTGATATATACAAATAATTCATACACGGAGATTTATGGAGCGGGGCTGAGGAGCGGTGACGAGGATCGTCGGCAACCGGACGCGCCCGGATGGAGTGACATGGGATTGTCCGCGCGCGGCGCAGGTCAGAAGGCAACTGAGTAGCTGCAGTTCTGGCAGCAATGCGCCGGCTGGTCGCGGTCACTTCGTCTGCTGCAAGACGTTGAGCTCTTGCTTTATCTTTACTATCTGACTTATTTGAAATTAGGTTCGGAACATCATCATAAAAACGTACCAAATAGATGCTTTAGTTAAGAAGTAGGAGGTTAGGATTTCTAAAGAATTTTCCTTGGCAAAGGCCATCAAAACGCACAAATTTAAGGAGACAAAGCGACTTAAAGATTGTAGTTGTCCGACTCCGGCATCCGATAAAGGACAGTTTGATGGTAATATATTAAGTTTATTGATGATTTTCTACTTGGAATTTATTTACTTTCTTAATAAATTTCCACTTGGAAACTACAAGTCATGTGAACCTGACGAGTCTAAAGACATAACGGAAGTTCCTTGTCTCGAGCAAGGATATAAAGTGTTAGAAATTAATTTCAAACGAAAATACTATAATATATAAGCGAAAACCGAAGCATAATTTGCGCAAGAAAATATGTCGTGAATAATATCAGGATAGGACCTGTCCATCTCGAAGCCTATTACGCACATCCAGCGCGCAGTATGTTGCGGTCACGCTCACGCAGATGCTAGTCGGACTTCATTCATTGATATTTCGTATCATTCATTCATTGTCATTTGATACGTCTCATCGTTCGTTATCATTGGTGCAGAGCACAAACTCATCCTCATTGCATTAAGGTGACATTATAAAAATAAACAGATAAACAAAATAAGAGTAAATACCAAAAACAGAATAAGGAATTGTATGTTAACACAAGGACGTAAATAGTGCAAGGAAGTTTACAATAGCAGAGCGTAGAAAATGAGGAATATGATCACTAGTTGCGCAAGATGAACCAGTCGTGTTTCTCGCAGTAAGTTGACATGGATGGTTTAATAGGCGATCATGATTTAGACAACTGATTGACATCATCTAGTTTGAATAGTTTTGGTAATCTGTCTCGCCTTGAACGGTTTCAAGTGCAAAGAACCTTAGATGATGGCGCCTTGTGAACCAAGGATCCCAAAAACAACCTTAAACTTTATTTAAACCAAAATCAAACCACAACACTCAACTCAAGTTAGAAGTAAGAGGCAGAAAAAAATACAATTTGAACATTTTTCATAGGTTTTTTTGCTACCAAGCAGGCAAAGTCATAAGCACAATACAGTGGACTGCAACGTACGTAGCGTCTACGAAGCGAACAAAATTTTGACCACCGTCGCCACGTAAGCTATTAACTACTACCGCATTTGAGTTAACAAGCTAGATTTATTCTCGCAGTTCATCATCTTAAGAAGAAGCGAGTGACGAGAGTGTCACTCAGCAGCGAGTGCCACTCAGAAGTGAGTGGCGTGAGTGCCACAGAGCTGCGTCAGCCGCCGTGGAAAATAAAGTAACTCGTTCAGCCTCCGCCGTGAGAATTGAATTGTATCAACTGAATCAATATCATATCTACGGTCTGAGTATTGCATCTACCGCCTAGTGTTCATCATCGCATCATATCCAACGTATCGCATCAATTGAATCTTACAATATAGTTACCTTAATAGTTCACTAGTTATGAGTCTCACTTTCTTACCAGGCACAAAAGACTGCACTTAATCCATGATTGTGGCAGTTTAAGGAATTAATATTTTAATAACTTTTTCATTCAACAGAGATGGCACTCATTCTGTCCCTCAACAAAGGGGGTTTGCAAGGACCCGTAGCTGGAAAAATCCATCTTCCTTGCAAGGAAATAAAATGGGGTTTATCGCAGCACCAAGAAATAGAAGCGCTGGTAATGGAAATCGACCGCTCTATTAATGGAAGTGCATCGCGCTTTTAATAGGTGTGGATAGTGCAGCTAATTCAAGTCGGTGGTGTCAATATATATAATAGAAGTGGATTGCGCCAGTATATATATAGTGGAAGTCGATCAACCTACATTGACGGTTGAGGTATGATCGCAAGAAGCTGCGAATTTCCGAACCATTTGTTAGGAAAAAAGTAAAAATGAAGCAAATGGTCCTCCCGTAGCGATATAACTGCAATACAAATTGTTATTTTACACAAATATTACATCAGTTGCTGAATTGATATACGAGTTGCAGCGCCGAACACTGCGTGGCCGTAGCAGTTTAGAAATCAATGATGGAGACGAAGCAGCGGAGACTTGTCCGTAATAAGAGCCTCCAGACAAGCATCTTTAGCTTCAACCACAAGATGTTCATTGCCAGCACCTGTCACGTGCGACGCGACCAAGCTCGAGAAGCTCCGTCTCACCGAGCCGTGAAAGCAAAAGAAAGCTAAATGTTTAGACTCGTTTGCCAAAAAAGACTAGGCGTTACGGGGTTGCAATGAAGTTTTATTTTCGCAAGAAATGCGTACAAAAGAGTTCCTCACGACAGATAAATCATGCATGTGGCCTTTGGTCTCAAATTGAGACTAGGCGTTCGTTACGGAGATGCACTGAAGTTTTATTTTCGAAAGAAATGTGTACATAAGAGTTCCTCACGACAGATAAATCATGTGACCTTTGGTCAAGAATTGATTAACTAAGCAATTAGTTTTGGGTCAGTCCAACACCAATGCAGATAATCCGGTCAGTGCACGGAAAAGTTGACGCAAAACTTATTTCTTTCATAACGGACGATGTTTCGATACGCGTCGTCGTGACGCCGGAAGACAGAGATCGTAAGAAGACGGTTCGTAAGAAGACAGAGATCGTAAGAAGACAGAGATCGTAAGAAGACAGAGATCGTAAGAAGACGGTTGCAGCTGCAGCAAAATTCCACACAAAAAAAAAACATCGTACGAGTTTTACGAGTTCGTCATCACGCGATCATAACGGCAGTGACCCGACGGGTGAGAGCAAGGCTCGATAACGCGGCGGTGTGCCTCACGTGTGATGTCAATGAAGGAGGATAGATAAGAAATGTATGGCAGCGCAGGACCGCGTCACATGGACCAGTTACACAATAAAGCCAAGTACAAATATATTCTGAGTGAAAATTGAAAGTTTTGTTAAAACAAGAAAATTTTTTGAGTGAATCTTCGGTATAGGCACATGGACCGTGTTTTATGAACAAGTTACACAATGAAGCCAAGTGCGATATATAGCATTAGTGAAAATTGAAAGTTTTGTTAAAACAAGAAAATTTTTAATTTTTTGCATTTTTAGGTACAATAAGAAACTACCTAAGTTTCAGTGTCTGCACATTTAACGGACGTTGAGTCAAGACCGAGATAAGTCTAAGGCAGAACTGAGGCACATAATAACGCAGCGAAAAAAAATTCTAAGCAAAAGTCAAAAATTTAGTACAAAAATTGTGAATTTCAAGTATTAATCTTGTGCGACAAGTCCATGGATGACAAATATAAAACAGTAAATAATAAAATCCTCTGAAGGATCTATCACCAAAATAACTTTATAGCAAGAGACTATGAAATCGAGGAATATTATGAATGATTTCATCGAATTATATAATTATTTATTGGAAACATAGAAGAGAATACGGCGAAAATTCGCTCAGACGTGACCACGCACATAATGTGCCAGTTGTGAGTAACGAGCGCAACGCGCATGCAGCACATGCAGCCTGACCTCAGGCATCACTTGTTTACATGAAACAAGCAAACAGAGACGATGCCAGCAAAGAAATAAACTCATTTACATTAAACAAGCGAACAGAAGCGAAGTCAGGAAAGAAATATTCAATAAAAATAGCAAATAGCAAGTAAATATTGTCAAGAATATTTATTGAGATTGCCTCAAGTCGACGAAGCACAACGAGGAGAATATAATCTTACCTGTGACGATTCCGACAGGTAGGGTGGCACATTCACCAAGAAAAGCATTTCCCGCGTTAAAATACCATAATAACAATAAAATAATAATAAAAATAATAATAATACTAGAAATAACAACAAATAATAAAAACAATTACAAAATAGCTTCGCAATAACTTCGATCGTAGATGTTATCTTCTACTTACTGGTATAATTGAGAAGTTCTTACCTGGGACAGTCCCAGCCTGTAGGAGGATGGATCAATCTCGAGGTGCTGGAGGATGGCTTCAGTAGCGGCACGGTGGTCGAGCAGCGGTCCCGCCCTGAGCTGGGACGGCGCGAGCACAGCGAACTGCCGCCTGAACTGCTGGTACGACACGTGCTCGGGGTAACCTTGCTTGTGGAGACGCAGGGCCTCGACCAGTTGACAACCGCGCAGCTGTGCGGGACAAATGTTGAGAAGTGATAGAATAACAGGTGATGAAATAAATAGGGAAATAATAAATTAAGTGAAAGTCCGATAAATAAATTAAGGGAAATAAATAGTAACAAGATATAAATAAGCGATGAATAAAATTAAATGCGAAAACGAAGTTTCAGCGAGCGAGCCATTGACGCAGAGGAGAGAACCAACAATCAAAATGCCAATGCAACGATTGCTATGATCATGATGCTTTACGTAAATAAAATGTCAGAGTTTCAATTCTGTGTCACAAATTCTCGTTTCACTTGGCAGCAGCTCATCGTCTCCTGAGCGGGTGACAGAACTCTAGGAGAACTCTAGGTGACAGAACTCTAGGAGAACTCTAGGTGACAGAACTCTAGGAGAACTCTAGGTGACAGAACTCTAGGAGAACAACATGACTGCAGGATCTTGTTTAATTCAATGAGATTATAAAGGAGATAAGGAGGCACGGATTTGTGAGACAAAACGATAAATATTCCCAGAAATCCCCAGCCTAATTGGCTTGGAATGTAATTAGTTGTGAAGGAGGAGAAAACTAATTAGGGCAAACTAAGGATATAAGAACGGGAGGTCTGAAGAGTTGCTACTTTCTTCGCACCGTTGATACGATTTTGATACTATGCAAGAATTTTATTAGGTAAGATATAGCTAATTAGCACGTAAATTAATGTCCTATTAACTTGAGCGATTATCACTCAAATTTT